AGCTTACAACAATCATTCCGAGGTGCCTACACCTCCAGACATTCACTCAGGCAATCTGGACAGAAACTGACAACAAGAACACCACTGACATCGGTTGGCAGCCATTTCTTGTGAGGATTACGGTTCCCAGCCTAGAAGGCGAGTAGCACTGACAGCACTCAAGCGTTTCGTAATCTCCATTATTCTCCGCTGCCTAGTCAAGGGTTGGCCACCTCTCTGTTTACGCCACTCTGAATTGGGTATGGGAAACAGCACTCTCTTCGGCAAACGATAGTCCGGCCTACACAACACATGTCCCAACCAGCGCTCCTTCTGGTGCTGAACACATTCTTCAATCGAAGTACCCGTTGCACGACGGAAAACGCGCTTTCCAATAGCCTCGTTAAGGAGCCGCCGACACCAATCCACATGAGTTATGGTTCTGAGACAACGATTGTCGAACACCTGAAGACGTCTCAGTTGCGCTGCTCCAACAGGCAAAGTCTCACAGGCATACAGCAAAACAGCCCACACTGTAGCTTGATACACACATCCCTTGAGATTCAGGGATACACCACTCTGACGCCATAGGTGTCTCAAGTTAGCAGACGCGATCCGGACCTTGCAGATTCGTGCATTCAGCTCATCTGTCACACTACAATCAGAACTAATACAACTTCCAATATACGTAAAACGCTCCACAAATTCGGGTGCCTTCCCTGGATTGTGAGTGACGTTTCCGGTGACTGTATGTCCACCAGCATGACGTTACAATTTGTGGGTGCAAAGTGCATTAAAAAACACGTGAGCCTTCTACTCTTCTCGAAAGACGAGAACAGTGTGGTCTGCAAATTCCAGATCGACAGGAGCTTTGAAGATCTTCTAGCATTTGCTTCATTATCTCATGAACTTGCTGATAGGTGTCAAATTACGGGCTCACGCATTTCAGGGGATATTTGATGCACGTGATTTACTTCCTGGAACGGTCAATTCTAGTCTTCAGAAAGGCTTAGACGAGATCATTTTCAGATCAGCTGTTACGAGCTGTTGAAATCTGGTTGGAATTTCCATCTTAATTATCGATATCCAAGGGTGAAGATTGTACATTAGTTGGATGATATTCGCTGTCTGGTCTGGTCAGCATCATTTTCGACCGAGGATGCGTACTTTGTAAATCAAGTTCATCGGCTCGTCAGCGGACTCACAGTCAGGTGATCAGTAACCTGAACTTGATGGATCCAAAAGTTCACGCAATGATCCCAGGAAGGACTAAAGGCGCCGTGTAGCACAGTTTAGTATCAATCAATCAGCGTCTACACCAAGTTAGCTTATCGAACTGGCACAGATATGTTAAGACCATTGAATCCAGGTTGCCAAAAGGTGAACAAACTGAATGCTGCGTAGGCATTGTTGGTAAAACAGGGAAAAGAGAATATACCATCACATCAGCAAATTCTTTAAGTACCTTGGGCGCACCCCATGTGGACACCATGGATTCAGCGACCCGTTGGAACAGATTCTGAACATTCAATCCGGTTTTCGCACTTGTCTCGAAAAACCCATGAGCACATTGCTGGGAGGCTAACTGAAACGACAGAAAAAAAGCGGGTAGAAGTCTGTGTAAGGGTACAGAAAAAGGTGTGTCGGAAGACAGGCCAATCAAAAACTTGGTCTATTAGAACCAGCTAACTTCCATAGGCGCCGAAAGTGCCTTCCATAGACTGGATACTTCCACGTACTACTCAGAGAATAACAGAGTGATGAACGCCGGGTGTTCGAATCGTTGAGAAAAAACCCAGTTCGACGTGTCCAACATTAGTTTACTTTGGAAGCAATTTTTCTGTGTTGTTTGTTAAACTTACCACTGAATTTGATCCCTTAGCAAATAGCCAAAAAGTAGGTTTACGAGACTAAGCGAGTATTGCACAGAAATGACATTTTTTTCAAATGTAGTGTTACAGATGGATGTTGAAGGAATGACGTTGTTTGAACCAACTAAGTTAACCGGGCTTTTGCTCATCCGGTATCATCAACATTATCGACAGCATGACGTCAGTATTCATTGCCGTACAGCCATGATTTTTTTGAAAGCCTTATTGTAAGGAAAAGAGTAAAGGTGGACAGGGAAGGGACTCATTACTACCTTACCACTATCATTCCGAGGTGCCTACACCTCCAGACATTCACTCAGTCGATCCGGGTAGAAACTGACAACAAGAACGCCACTGACATCGGTTGGCAGCCATTCTTGTGGTGTCTGCAACCAGGCACAGTGAGGATCATACGGTAACTGGCAATCGAAGAAAGTGGAAGAAGTACAAACGTCTGATTCCGATCAAGCAAAGTCTCCAGAAAACAGTGTACCAACCTGGCTATACATATCCGATGTTTTTGTCCCATAGAAGGAAGTTTAAATTTGCTCCAAAAAATCGATGAAGCAAGACTTTTGGTCGAACTCTTTAACTAAGTCAGGTATGTTCTTGTGGTACTCATTAGTCATGGCAAACACTGGCGGTTTCCCTGTGATTACTTTGGAGAACACATGTGGAAAAAATGTTGAACTAACGCTAATTTATTTTGCGGCCAGTGATTTGTGTTCATGTGGTTAGAAGTCTTGACTGACCAGATAACTTGGGGTACCAAATGAATGTTCTATGTCTACGTGACTGCAGCTCAATGTCGAAATAGCACTTTAGTTGTACAACTCCTCGCAATCTTAGAACCACCATTTTTTATGAACATGATTATACAATATTACTATATATATATATAATGTATGTATATTTCGCGGAATGCGATGACCTTCGGCCGGATACCGGATAATAATAAGAATACTGGCATGTTTATATCAATTCGTAGCCCATTTGCAAGACACAAAACATATACCTTTAATTTATAGAGATAAGGTCAGTCTCAAACATTACGTCGCAAAAGGCTATTTCGATAGGACAGATTTCAAGTCAGGACAAGGTTTAATACCGCAACGCTAAATAGTTTTCCATATGTTTGGTGGAATGAAGCGGACAAACAAACTAATTTCAATGACGCACTGGCGTGGATGCCTGGTTTACTTGTTGTGTGCTCAAATGGAGTTTCGTGCACTGGGGCAGACAGCTATTTGGATCGGAACTAACGCATGGTCACCGTATATAGGTCTTGTGCACAGGATATTTAAATCGGTAGCTACTCTGGTGACTGGGGGGATTAAAAAACATGTTGTCTAGAACGCATCGTCTTCCAAATGCAGCTAATGGAACAGGTGATGAAAACTGAAGGGCCTGTAAGAGCGATGGGTTTTCTTTGATCAGAGCGATGAAAAAACTTAGTATAGTTCACTTGTCACATGCTCCGGTTCGGAGAACGCTTTAAAAGGTCCGGTATCCTGCGTTTATTTAAGCACAAGGACTGTACGTTAGTTTCAGCGTATCACTGTTCACTTTTGATCCTAGTGTCGGTTCTATATTACATTTGTGACGGTCGATACTACTGAGGAGGTACGCAAGTAGTATGTAGTTTTCTCGTAACTGCGCTTCGCGTCTATTGGAAGGTGGGATTTATTGGGAAATTTGTACAATTACTTTGTAGCAATTGTTTATATTTGAGTGATAGCCAACGAATATCCAGGGAATTTTGAGAATACACGCTCAAGGAGAAGACGGATGTTCAGTTTTTATAAACAAGATGCATATGAGGGTTCTGCTTCTCTGTAACCGTTCAGTTGGCGTTTCCCAGTAAATAACACCGCAGCGAAGCCCCTCTTCTTTTCACAATTAATATCTTTCCAAGCCATCGGTATGCAGCCTTAAGACCATATGTTAATTTCAACGTATCAGTTTTCAATTTGGATCTTAGCGTCAGTTTCATATTACTACAAGTGAAAAGAAGAAGGCCTTCGCTGCGGAATTATTTGTTAGAAAATGCCAACTGACCAAATACGGACTATTGGAAAGGAAAGCAAAAATCTCATTTGCATCTTGTCTACAAAAACTGAACATCCATCTTCTCTTGCGCGCGTCTTCCTGAACTTTCCTGGATATTCATTGAGTGTTGCTCAAGTTCAAGCAAATGCTACAGAGCGAGTCCACAAATCCGCAACAGATCTCACTTTTTAAGCGAATTTACAAGAAGAAACCATACTAATTACATGTCTACCCCATCAGTAGCATCACCGTCACACAAGTAGTCTCCTTCCAAGCCATGTCGCTCATTCCGTGAGCAATGGAACTAAAGGAGGGCTGAAATATTAGCGTTAGCATGTTTACGAGTATTCGAATTTCGAGCGTGTGTTTCTATCGAATAGTTTCCTGATTTCCGGTGTTCGCGCTTGACATATTAAGAGGAAATCCACTGAGTCATTGGCACTTCAGCAAAGGTCCTCTCATGCTATTTTTTTAAAAAAGTTCGTTGGACTCTTTTACTAGCAATGATACCCACAGTGACCGAGCAAGAAGTTTGAATCAAGTTTGACAACTAGTCTTCTGTACGATCAGTTAGACGTGACACGGCTTTTTTTGATGACTTGGTTTTGAGGAAATTATCGGAGGTCTTCACATATGCCAGAGCCGCGGAAGTTTCAACAAAAGACTCAACTGAATCGTGCGGAATCTTTCGTGTATGACGATCTCCTTCAGCTGGAACTGTCGCGCCTGGTCATATCCGGTTTCAGTTGGCACGACATTTGAGATATCACAATACATCGTCCCGAAGTACCACACACACACACACACACACACACACACACACAGTTACTGTCCGTTTTCAGCAACCATCTCTATTTGTCTGTGTAAAAAATACACATGTATCCAAAGTTGACACCCCTTCTTCACCCCTTCTTCAAAATCCACAAAAGTGTTCGCGCAGACCATAGTGACACAGGTGTGTTCACAAATGTATAAGTGCATGTAAATTTATACTGGTTACAGTCTGTATCGTTGTTCGTGATGTTGATAATGAATTCGGAGTTATCTGGTGTGAGACAGAGTTGTTGGCCCTGCATGTGATAACTACCTGTGAGGTTGATCCTGTCACTTCAAGGTATTTATTACAAACGATCATCAACATCAAACAGAGCTTTTTACAATAGAAATACGGGGAGTCATTTGTTGTCCATTTTTAGCCGTCCAGCATGTTTTGAGGACAACTTGTTTGAGGATAACACTTTCTGCTTCCAAATAAATACTGATTATTTTGCTAGTAAGTATGTCGACATGCCTTCGGTATGAGAGTTATTCAGCGTCGTAATTGACTAAATGATACAAGAAGCACCGAATAAATACATCGGCATCTATCTGATCTCAAACGACGTCGTTTCAAGCTTGGAATTGGCATTGTCTTATTCGGAAAAGCATAGAAAAGCCTTAGGTTGCTTTCGATTGACTCAGTAAACTTGTTATCCGAAGCAGTAAGACTAGTTTTTTCTCCATGTATGGAGTGTTCAGTGAGTACCTCTTCTTTGTACGGAAAGTCGAACGCGTTATGATAGTCCGACAGTCGGTCTACAACAATCTGCCTAATTAACCAGCACAAAAAGTTGGTCCTTATCGTTTCAGTACAACGGAATGCGCCTTTAAATGGAGACGTTATGAAGGAGAGAAAAATCATTTATTTGTGTATTCAGACCGGCAGCCAGCTCAGTTCTTACTTACGGCTGTAAGTGCCGGAAAAAGGTCCATCGATAAGGAACACAACAGGTTTATTGTGAACAAGCGAGTGTGTACGAGTACGGCACTTACAAGGGACCGCACGCTATTTTTGCTTTCATCGATCCAGGATGTTGCTGAATTGACTGAATGCTTGATTGGTCTTGCCTGCTTTCCTATTGGGTTTTTGGTGGAGTTTCAGGGTCTCGGTAGGTTCCGAGCGTTCTGGGTTGCCAGATATTGTGCATACAGTATATCCGAATAGTCGATGTAGTTGACATTTGCTGTCTAGAAAACATCCAGAACATTCGACAGTTCGACCAAATACCCATTCTGGTAGCTAGATTACGCTGCATCAGAAGCCCACCTCTCATAAATCTACTGCAACAGTCAGGCCACTCGAACACCCCTAAAAGGGAACCTTTTAAAATTAAGTTGATCCCACGATGGTGCCGCCATTTTGGAAGGCACTGAAGAATCGGAATCGATACCGTCATTTTAAAATCTGGCGAGACGGGATCTCAGGCAATCACTGGGCACCGGTTTATTGCGGAGCTAGCCTGTGAAGGTAGTACGGAACATCCGTAAAGCCGACGCATCCTACCACATCCGACAGTCGCCGTTAAATTGAAGGAGTTACAGAAAGTCTGAGTATTTGTACCAGTGGGATGAGTGGCCTGATTCCCTTAGAGTGAAAGTTGTTTCAACCGGAAGAAAACTAGGAACTCGAGAGTGAATAAAAATACCGATCTTCGCGTTAGACGAAGTAGCATCTACAACAACTGTGGATATGAAACCACAAAGAGGAGGACGAAACTGTTTCCAGAACTACCAGCCATGGAGTGAACAATAATCGGTTGTGCGTTCCTTGTGATGATCAGCTAATCCAGTCGGCTGACCAGGAGTGGTCAGACATACTGTTGTCACCTTTACGGTGACCGTGAAAATAAGTTTATTCACTGGAACGAAGGGTTGTTCGCCCTTTCATTAACCTATGATTGATTTGTGAAACTGAGGTAGTATGAGAAAGTTGATTGGATTGACGGGAATCGATTTCAGAAACAGGGTGCATCTACCTTTCAACCGGTTGGTTAAATACGGTCAGTGTTCATACATGAAGGGGCAATTAGTTTTTTCAACTTCTGAGAACATCCCCGAACGGTGCGCGTCGTAACCCACAAGTTCGTATTGATTTGTCGCAAACTCCGTAGCACTCCGATTGTGGTCATCAGTTTTCATACAAATTAATGCAAAATTCGAGAACCAAGCGATGAGCAAACGAAAAAATAGCTCATAAATCTCGTTGATTGTGCATTCTAATGAGGTAACCACTCACCTTTTCACCGTCTTGTGTGCTAATCACGCGACTGGATTCCAAATCGGCCTTGTTCGCAGCGAAAAACACCGGTATAGGCTCGTCCATGTACTAAATAAAGAATTTGAGAAACGGTAATTAGCACGCACGAAGACGAACAGGCATTTGAATTTCACTTAATTATTAGAATGATTTGTGTGATTCGTAGCGAACAAAGGACTGAACTGGGGGCTGTTCAAATCGCAGAAGGAAGCAAACAGAGTTTTGAGTAAAGTTGTCTGCTCAAATTTGTTAAACTTGTAGTTAGAACCATTTGAAATCATTTGGAATCCACTGACACTAGTTATTGCGAGGTGGCGAGGATTTGTTCCAGAGTTTCTAAGTAAACGCCTGCTAATGTAGGATGTTTGCACTGAAATTATTAGGTTAAACTGGGGGGGGGGGCATTGGATACGAGTAGATCATATACAAATCATGCAGTTGAGCAACCGAGAGTGCCTCTACTCAGCCTGACGACTTGAAATCCTTGTATGAGTTTGAACGGCAATGACGGATGGCAGTTTACGCACAAGTTCAAATGTCATTCCATCCCATAACTACTTTTCAAAACATGTGAACCAGAACAGTCGTAAAGCTTTGTCAGGCTTTTCTCGGAACAGTACCAGATGATTGATAAACCAGTCATTCTGTTGGCCTTGCAATAAAGAGGTAAAAATCCGTCCAGGTAAAAGTTGTTGGTTCGCTTTTTTCTCAAAAGGTACCGCTGCGCCAGCCCACTAACTCGGTGACAACCGAATCCGTTGAATAAGGCGTTGAATGCTTGCTATCGCCAGGCGGTACGCACGCACCGATCAGACACTGCGTGATATGTGTGGTGCCCATTATCCGCACAATATCCTTAGCTGCAAAACATTTACAAGGGGAGTAAAGCTTTCTACGCCAAAATGTTGCATTTTGTTGTGTGTGCTCAAACCGAAAACTGTCCTCATCTATGTTCATATTTTTACAGCTCACCAAAGTTCATTGTTTACTGAAACAACCGTTCCTCTGGCTGAAAAGTCTTGTGGAATAATTTCCAAGCATCGCTGAGACCCCGGGATGCCTAAATGGGGTTCAAAAGCTTGGACTGGTACCAAGTTCGTATTGATTTGTCGCAAACTCCGTAGCACTCCGATTGTGGTCATCAGTTTTCATACAAATTAATGCAAAATTCGAGAACCAAGCGATGAGCAAACGAAAAAATAGCTCATAAATCTCGTTGATTGTGCATTCTAATGAGGTAACCACTCACCTTTTCACCGTCTTGTGTGCTAATCACGCGACTGGATTCCAAATCGGCCTTGTTCGCAGCGAAAAACACCGGTATAGGCTCGTCCATATACTAAATAAAGAATTTGAGAAACGGTAATTAGCACGCACGAAGACGAACAGGCATTTGAATTTCACTTAATTATTAGAATGATTTGTGTGATTCGTAGCGAACAAAGGACTGAACTGGGGGCTGTTCAAATCGCAGAAGGAAGCAAACAGAGTTTTGAGTAAAGTTGTCTGCTCAAATTTGTTAAACTTGTAGTTAGAACCATTTGAAATCATTTGGAATCCACTGACACTAGTTATTGCGAGGTGGCGAGGATTTGTTCCAGAGTTTCTAAGTAAACGCCTGCTAATGTAGGATGTTTGCACTGAAATTATTAGGTTAAACTGAGGGGGGGCATTGGATACGAGTAGATCATATACAAATCATGCAGTTGAGCAACAGAGAGTGTCTCTACTCGGCCTGACTACTTGAACTCTATGAGTTTGAACGGCAACGACGGATGGCAGTTTACGCACAAGTTCAAATGTCGTTCCATCCCATAACTACTTTTCAAAACACGTGAACCAGAACAGTCGTAAAACTTTGTCAGGCCTTTCTCGGAACAGTACCAGATGATTGATAAACCAGTCATTCTGTTGGCCTTGCAATAAAGAGGTAAAAATCCGTCCAGGTAAAAGTTGTTGGTTCGCTTTTTTCTCAAAAGGTACCGCTGCGCCAGCCCACTAACTCGGTGACAACCGAATCCGTTGAATAAGGCGTTGAATGCTTGCTATCGCCAGGCGGTACGCACGCACCGATCAGACACTGCGCGATATGTGTGGTGCCCATTATCCGCACAATACCCTCAGCTGCAAAACATTTACAAGGGGAGTAAAGCTTTCTACGCCAAAATGTTGCATTTTGTTGCGCGTGTGCTCAAACCGAAAACTGTCCTGATCTATGTTCATATTTTTACAGCTCACCAAAGTTCATCGTTTACTGAAACAACCGTTCCTCTGGCTGAAAAGTCTTGTGGAATAATTTCCAAGCATCGCTGAGACCCCGGGATGCCTAAATGGGGTTCAAAAGCTTGGATTGGTACTCTCAACTCAATTGTCCGGTTACTTTAGTCCACTGGGGACACATCATAACCTTCGAAATTTCGACTCCATCGTGCGAATACTGAGCGCCGATCTGTGTACAATGCCCACATGTGAGTCCCGCAGATGACTTATTTCTTGGAGGACACCATGAATGTCGTGCGAAAAGCTGTACTCTGCGTTAGAGGACTTCAGATACTTCTGCAACTGCATCATGGTTGCCGAGTCGTAACTTCTGTGGCCGCATCACAAGCGGAATTGGGCGAACCGGGGCGCTCAGTATTCGCAGGATGGAATTGAATTTTCGAAAGCCAGGACGTGTCCCTGATGGACTAATGCAATCAGGAAATTGAGCACCAGTCCAAATTTTCGAGCCTCATTTAGGCACCCAAAGCTCTCAGAGGTGCTAGGAAAGTATTCCACCAAACTTTTCCCGCCGGAGGTATGATTGTTTCAGTGGACAATAAAATTTGATGATTGTTTCAGCGGACAATAAAATTTGGTGGGCTGCAAAAATAGGAACGCAGACTAGAACGGTTTTTGGCTTGAGCACATGTGCAACAAAATGCGATATTTTGGCGTAAAAAGTTTTATTCTTCTAGCATAGTTTTGCAGCGAAGACCATTGTGCGGCCAATGGGCCCCGCAAACCGGTGCGCCGTACGACACAATTCAACGGCATGCATAACCGTTCCATAAGTTGAGAATTCTCGATTTGGAGGACACTCAACCCGTGCATGCCCTGGTTGCACATGTCTGGGACACTTCATTTCAGAAATAAGATCCACGATAGCACCGAATTTGTAACTAATCTTCCTTGGAGCCCCAGAACAAATTGCTGAATGTCGCATACGTGGAAATGTGGTGTTTGCCAAATTATCGCACCCCGTTCAATGCTATTTCCCAGTCACTCAAGTGCCCTTTTCTTCAGTCAGCGCAGCAGTCACACAGTATACATACTAGCCATAATTTTTGTCTATTTATCGATCGATAAACTGAGAAACATGCTGTTAAACAGAACTTAGTAACCAGAGACCCCGACTACTATGAACAAACAAGAGTAGTTTTTTCATGACAAATCCACCAATATGAATGTGAAGTGCGCACGGTTGGATTTACTATGATTCTTCAATCTGTATTAAGAAGGAAGACAATATGTGATCAGACACGTGTGCATGACATCTGGCTGCATTAGACTCATTGAGAAAGACACTAAGCATACCTCCAGGAGGATGTCATTAGGTATATATATATATATATATATAGTTTGTTGAACCGACCACTATACACTGTTCCTGCATTATCACATTCGGTTCATCTGCTGTCTAAAGTGGCGAGTACCACTAGCTGTCTCGACAATGTGTTGCCATTCGATGGACAAAGAGTTCTCTGCGGGAAACTGGCACATATTTGATGCAATCAAATTGGGCACCTTATTCCGACTGATTTATGCTACAGAAATAAGGGTGATTAAGATATTGAAACAAGGTGGGGGCGAGTTGGGTCAAGTGGTCAGAGCGCGAATTTACTGACCGGAAGGTGCGTGGCTCGAACCCGACCTTGGCCACTCGACTTCCCCTGTCTAGACTTGTGTGACCTGGCAGTATCCCAGCCCTCGTCCCTCCTTCGTGTGGCACGGCAGCTAGGCGCCAAAAGGGTGCTACAGCTGAACGATGATGACCAGCCCTCCAGAGAAAAACGCAGTCGATTACTCTCGGCGAAGTTCTCGGGACACCCGGACACGCCTGGCTAGCACACAATATGAGTCGCCAAATTGTTAAGCGCTTATCAAATGTGGGCTAATAAAAAGCAGTTGGATGAAATATATCCAATCGGCAGAAAAACCACGAAGATGAAACTTACATCGTCGACTGATCGCAGCCAGTATTTCCGAATTTGTTCGAAAGTCTTCGGTTGCGTCACGTCATACATGACAATGAAGGCCTGCAGTGGAAAGGCACACAAGAAAACTCAGTGAACAAACTCAAAGTAGTCAAAGAACTTCATTTCCGTTTTAGACAAGATCACTTCTCTAGCGAATATACACTCATTCGCAAACTAATTTGGTTTTTCGAGAGACTCACCTGGAACCCAGCTGAATCTCTCGTTTGTGATGTTCTCAGGCAACTGAATGTGCTGCACCAGGCCGCCTCATGTTTCAGTCGCTACGATATTCGAGATATCGCGATACATGGATTTCTTTGTGATATACTACTCACAAGGATTTTCAGCAACCTTATGACTAGTACATTACAAAGATCACTATTCATTTGCAATTGTTTGACTTGGCCGTTACTCAGTATTCAAGGTGAAATTATTAACAGTCGTAGAGCCTAAAGGTAAATTTCGCAATGGAACTGAAAAGGCGAACCAGAGTTCAGAAACGGTATTTGGTATTTGTAGTCCCAACAAAGAATTCTCCTTTCGTTAAGATACCCTAAATTAGCTTTTTCACTGGCAACTTTGGAGGACCAAGGTACACTACTATTCGGCTCCGTGTAGTAATATGTTGCATTGTTAGCAACGTTGTGGAATGTAGGTAGCTCGGGTGCGCTGCTTGGTTGTTGGTCTGTTCGCCTAGCTTGGCAGTTGGATTGCAAACGTTTCATCACCAACCGAGGTGACATCGCCAGTGCAGGGTTGAGTGCCACAGTGCCGATCAGTAATGGTTCATGCCCCACTTTAAGAACATTTACTTTGCATGTGTGACGCAACCGCTCCCACTTTCTTGTTGCAGCTTTCTGTAGCAAAATGTAACATAATAAATTCACAACGAAAAAAAACAAAGTGACCAAACGCGACTAAGTGGATTCTGCTGTTAGATCACGTGCACTGTTGGTTGAAAAAGCAATCCAAAACTTTTGTGATTCTTTTTGGTTGTATACTGAGCGATTGAATTCGGTTATTCTCTACGTCTAAAAAAACCCACTCAGTAAAGTTGAACTAACATGCTGATTAAGACCATCAGGGCCTTGCAAGTATGACACGATGTGCGGTTTTCACAGAGCACCAAATGGTTTAGATTTATCCTTATGATGTTATTAGCAAAAATGAGGACGGTTCGAATCGATAGCATGCTTCTTAACGATGTTTATCAATAGACTAAAACAAACCTTCTGGTGAGAGAAACTGAAAAGCACTCAACACTCTTTGTGAACTGACCTTGGCGCCCCGAAAATGAAATGCGACAATGGAATGATATTGCTCTTGACCGGCTGTGTCCCTGAAGTGCACAAAAACGATGAGTAAAAAAATCAAGTATACAGTGATGCAGAATCGGTCAAGCTAGCTCGAGGCGTACAAATTTCCTATTATCTTTTCTATGAATTACTCAATTAATTAATTAATTAATTAATTAATTGACCAAATGGGATAATTGATCAGAGTTTCCAGAAATTTGTGTGGCTTGTAGTCACTCATTTAATCAAAAATGGAGTCAACCAGTTTCGTTGAAAGATTTCTCAGTATTTCAGGCGTTACGACTATAGCTTATCATGGTACTTTTCTGGAATATACTGAAAAGGTTGCAATAGTACGACTTCACAATCCAATTGGCTGATTGACTGTCAAGACCAGAGGCTGAAGATGAGGCCCCCAGGAACATGATTTGGACCAGTAGCCTCGTCGTCGAACTGGATCCCGGAAGATTTGTGCAACTCCAACGGAAGGTTGCAATCGTCTTGTTGGATGGAAGGAGCATTGAAGACGGAGAGAGAGACAAGGACTTGGAAACGTTCCAGAGTCACTTTAATCGGTGAGGCTGAAATGAAGCTGGCATAATTTCCTGGAGTACGACATACTTCGGCAGAGGGCCTACTGGCCCGGTATGAGAAGCTGGGTGATGGATTATGTGGTGTCCTGTAAGCGTTGTCAACTAATGAAAGAGGATACGACAGGGGCAACCATCCCATGGAACCAATTCCTGTCTCAGAAATCGGCGAGTTGTGGTCAGTTGACGTCATGGGTACCTTTCCGGTGACAACCAACGGGAATCAATACATCATGATGATGACAGAGCACTTGTTGCGATGAATTGAGGCGGCAGCTATGCCTAATCAACGGGCGACGACGGTCAGCGGAGTGGCAATGCATCACATCGTGGCCAACCATGTTGTATCAAAAATGATCCTAACCGATCATGGGCCTTGTTTCGAGAGCGGAGAGTCTAGGAATTGCTTTCAGAAGCTGGGTATCAGACGGCTAAGAACGGCACCATACCACCCGCAAACCAGTTTCTTTGAAAGATCTGGCAGTATTTCAGGCGCTACGTTTGACGACTATAGGTTATCCTGGTACCTTTCTAGAATATACTGAAATGGTCATGCATCGTATGGATGCAACCTCCTTAATAATTTGTGCTAAATCGTTTGCAAAGGAGACTGTTTGCAGTGGATAGTCTTTTTAAGAGAAAATCCGGGGATGTGTGGCAAACGACACTTAAAAATAATCGATATGGGATGCTCACAACAAAACCGAAATCGCAGATCGCCCCTCCGCCGAGTGAACAATCTAGTGCGGGAAGAGATTCTGGTAGGCCATTTTGAGGTGACGTGATTGCGGTTCGTGTACAATGACCTACCGCTTTGCTGATTTTGAGCGAATCGATTGCCGCTTGAAGTGATTTCATAGCCTTGATTACTAGATTGTACGGGTAAAACATACATGCTGGTTGGTCAAATTTCCGAGACAGTCCCGATCGTTTTTCACTAGAAGTTTGCTTTCTCCCCACCATCTCAGGCATTCGGATTTCATTTTCGCGCTAAGACCAGTTGCTCCGTGGCATCTTCAAAAACTTGTTGTGAGCATACACACAAGGCGTTTTTCAAGTGTGTTCTCTGCCAGGTGACAGACACCAAGTTATTCTGAACTTGGCTGACTAAACTTTTCTTTTTTAAAAAAATGGTAACTTCCGCTTGTTTCTTTGCTAGAAAGTGAACCCTTCGAAGGACAGCCAATTCTGACAGTGTTTTGTGCAAAGGAGCACACCGATAATTTTCACCTAATAACGAAGGTGGTCGCACTGATTTTCTTAACAGAATTTTTGGTCGCTATCTTAATACTGCGAGACAAGCAACCACACAGTGAGTTAAAAGCGTTCAGCTGTTCAGCTGTAGCACCCTTCCGGTGCCTGACGTTGACGTCACTTACATGATCCCGTGATCCATTGACTTATCCCTCATTCAGCAATCCCTTCCTTTGATTTCTATTTCTCCAAAGTGTATGTAGCCCCGGTCTTAACCTTTTCCACGTGATTTCCGGTACCATATAAATTTGTGATGCATTAGCCAATAGGAACAATCAAAGAAAAAAAGCTTTGTCCGCTAGCTTCTTCGTTCTCACAAACGTTAGTGTATTACTTTTTTAAAGGAGCACGTGATCCAATCTCCAAGCCACGAAACTCTTCTGGGCAGACCAACCTCGTATAGCAAACACTGCGAGTGTCGCATGGTCACTCCAACTACAGCTCAATAGGTCACGGAATGACACAAACCGTCACACCAGTGTAAATTCCAGCGTCTTCATGATGGGCTCACTATTATCGGTTCAATGATACGATGAACCACAAATTCAGCTAGCATCTTTCGCTAAGAATATGTGGATCAATCAAATTTCTTTCAAAACAAACCCGGGTGTGTTTGCCTGATGGAACAGGTTCTTAGGTTTGCCACTTTATTGAACAAACATTGAGTTCATTGTGCTGCTATGAACGAAAACAAACCAGAATCTTTTAGACAAACAACCATGTGTTAGCCACAACGATCGATCTCATGTTGAAATGAAGTTAGTTCGATGGGAATTTGGCGTTCATGTGCTAAAAGATAGCAAAACCGCCAGTCAATAAATGCTGGGAGAACCGCAATCGTTTATGATTTACAAACCAGGATGTCTTTTGGGTTGAAAACAAAATAAAAATGAAAGTTCTTTTCAGATGAAACCTGACGTCCAGTAAATCAGTAAAAAAACAAACAGGAAAATTCAAGCGAGATAGAACAGTGAAACTAGCAGTGCATTTTTACGGAAAACAATTATTACTGCTACCCGTGTGGCGGTGGATACTACTGATGAGGAATGCGAGTAGTATGTGGTTGTTCGTAACTCCACCTTGATCGAATGGAAGGTGGAATCGCTTTTTAGCATTCGTTTAAATTTGCGTGACCGTTAAAGAATATCCAGAAAAGTTTAAGAAGATGCGTTCAAGAAGAAGATGGATGTTCAGTTTTTTAAAACAAGATGCATATGAGAGTTTCGCTTCCCTATCCAATAGTCTGTAACTGTTCAGTTGGTCTCTTCTAATAAACAACTCTGCGGCGAAGAGCTTTCCTCCTTTCACACTTGTCACGTGATTTCATTTGTTAAAAGTGCAAGATCAATTCACAGGTGCGTCACTTTGCTTGTGGTTTGTGTATTTGGGTCAGTTGGTTCAACTGGAACCCATTCTACTCCCCTGTAATTTGTAAAATCCACATAGAGCCGAAAAATAATGTCTACTTGTCAAATACTTCCAGACGTTCCCCCTTGGCCCTACTCAAAAAGCAACCACAAAGAAGTATTATGCAGTCATTTGACCCTTTGAGGCAATCAGTGCCTGTCTTCTGTTGGTCCGCTTTGTTTCTCCTAAACTCAAAAGATATTGCATTAATTATCCAAGTTCCAGTTGGTCCCAGTTTACCCTCATCTTTCTGTGATCCCCAAATTACTCCCTTGAAATGAGTGCTTGCTCCAAACGGATGAGGAATTCTTAGTTCTGCCCTCGATGCTTTCTGCTGAGGACCATGTGAGTGTGGCATTTTGATGTCATTAGTATTTTACCATTAATCGGAGGCTCCTGGTGACAAGAATTCGGGGAACCACAGAAAGGCATGTTCAAACAAACGTCACAAAACTTTATACTTACCAAATCTCTAGCTGAATTCGGTGGTTTTCGACGATAAACAGTTTTTTGGCGAGGTCAATGCCTAGAGAATAATATGGGGAGATAAATGCAAACGTTATTCAGCAAAAGTGCAAAGGCAATGAACAGTATGGGATGTATTTGTAATGGCCTTCTCATAAGGTTGCTGAAAATCGGTCGACAGCCCACGACCGATTTCGTCCTTAAAGTAGCTCATCATCAGCAAACTTATGAGTAGTAAATTACAATAGCAATATAAACATATATGGCGATATTTGAAATCTGCTGGCGACTGTCGAATATCGTAGCGACTGAAACATGAGGCGGCCTGGTGCACCATATTTAGTTGCCTGGAAACATCACAAACGAGAGGTTCAGCTGGGTTCCAGGTGAGACGCTCGAAAAACCAAAGTAGTTTGCAAATAAGTATGAGATATGTTCAGAAAGGAAACAATTTGTCAAAAAATTTGCAGCACTGCTGAACACTGACAAATTGGAAAAACTGGGAATGCAAGTTGCACATGGAGAGAACGTTTTTCTCTGTCGTACATCACATTGAATGGAATTTACATTTTCCACACTTCAATAAATCTTTCTCCACCTTTTTTGGGACCAGCGCTTCTCGCAGACAGTGCCCGAAGTAGATCGATGCAACGAGATGCAACCATGGTAACCGGACAGCTTCACCCGTTTACTATAATGGTGATTTCGTTTTGTTTCCTCCACCAGACGGTAAAATAGAAAAATACAATGATTTTTGACACCTATGGGAACTGGTTTAGGGAGAACAACGTTTTACAAAGAACGCTTTTCAGCTAAGGATAAGATGACTCGGATGAAGCTTGGTGCAGTCCATCATATGTATTCGTTCGGATATAATACCCTCCCGGTGCCTAGCTGCCATGCTACCCGAAGGAAGTACGAGGAAACTGCCAGGTTGCCCAAGCCTAGATAGGGGAAGCCGAGAGGCAGAGGTTGGGTTCAGACCAGGGACCTTCCGATCAGTAAATTCGCGCTCTAACCACTTGAGCCATCTCGCCACCGTAAACCCTATAAAAGGATGGTTTTATCCGTGCGATGACAACCAAAAACTGTCAAGGGTTTTATCAAAGAAATTTGCGATAAGAATCGAGCAGTCCATATCCAGGCGGAGAGCGAAGTGACACGTGGAAAGTTAGGCAATAAGTATGGCAAAAAACTGCTTTCCCGTGATTAAATCTGAAAATTTTTGGCTGCAATGTTTTATTGATCTTTCCTTTGAATTGCCGCCTGAGCGCCAAACTACTTACCGGCGAACAATGGAAAACAGCAGCGGTTCATTTTGACAGATGGTCCAATCGGATCTTACTCACCAACAGGTGCTTCGATTCTTGAAACAACAAATTTCCTTTACGAGGAAAGTCGGTATGGAACTGGTGCTCCACTGTCATCCATCGTTTGATAACAATGTACTGTATCGAATGTAACCCGGAACATCAAGTTGTATGCTATGAGTGTCAGAGCTGCAATCAAAAGCTTGAGTCAGTCGCAGCGAGATGGCCCAAGTGGTTAGAGCGCGGATTTACTGACCGGAAAGTCCATGGTTCGAACCCGCCCTCTTCCTATCGACTCTTCCGGTCTAGGCTTAGTCAACCTGGCAGAATCCCAGCCAATCTTAGGGTGGCATGGCAGCTGGACACCGAAAGGGTACTACAGCTGAGTGACTGAAGATACTCATAATGGTAGGCTGGCATTAATGAATATAGTTGACAGTGAGATAATGATCCCGGTGAGCGTGCGAGACAAGCATGGAGTCACTGATCTACTTAAAAACAGTACAGACATTGTTGTTACTGAACAAACTGAAAACTGGGGACAAAGCGGCTCAATGAAGATGTCGTATTAACTGTTTAAAGGTAAACTTTATGAATTTGAACATGGTTAGTGCCGACGTGGTGTCACGGGGTCCCCGTGACCCCGTCTGTGCTTGGCTGGAGACGTTGCGAGAAATGGCGGCTAATCGAGGTCAGTGGCGTTCATGCTGTCAGTTTCTTTCCAGATTGTCTGACTAAGCGGTTGGAGGTGTAGGCACCTCAGAATCCTTGACATAGGCCAGCACTAAGTCCCCTACCTCATCCACTGTTTTTCTCTTCCCATCACTGTAGGGCTTTTAATACAATCATATATATATGTATATATTTATAACTAGACAAACCTTATGGTTATACGGCAGTGAAGCATCAGTGGCAACACTGATGTCTGCTGTTTTTGAAGAAGATGATGACGAGTGTCGACAGGCAACATTGTACCCGTTTTCTGTCACACATTACAGTACTTTGTAACCCAGGTCGGGAAATCTCTTTGTTATCAAGATACCATTCCAGATATCTCGTTCCTAAATGACTTCAAGAGAGACCCATGTAAGAGCGCTGGTTTGAAAACCATTTTTCTATTCTCCAATAATTTGAGCCCCAACAATGTGACGAGTCAATAACTACCATGGAGCAAATAAATCAATAAACGGCATTTGAAATCACCCCCAGTTGGAAAAACGCAAATCGCTGGGTAACCTATTCTGATAAATTAAAACAAGTACATACCGATTGTGGAAATCGTCCCAGGATTAAACTTCTCTCCCATTAGAGTTCTGAGAATGGAGGTTTTTCCAACGCCCGAATTTCCGAGTAATAACACCTTGAAGCGGGCATCAAAACGTTCCTCTCCCGATCCACCACTGATATCATTTGACGGAGCGAATGCTGTATTGGATTTTGGAGTACTTTTGGACTTTTTGTGTGCAGTTCCATTTGGCGCCGTCGGTGGTTTCGCAGTCGATCGGCCAACTCCGGTGACAGAGAATGGTTGCATCTCACCCAAGTCGTCATGTTGTCCAAAATTATGGGCCATTATTTTTTTATTGGCCTGAGTAAGTATTAATCCTTCTGGAAATTTCTTCTGCCAGGCTGAAAATGAACTTGATTGGGCTAAGACCGGGAGGAGACTATCATTGGTTCATCCGAGCTGAAGTGGAAAACCAAAAAAAAGTCGCATTATTTTGGATTTTTGCGAGGCATGCAAGCATCACCTGTAAGATTGCTTGGTGGAAGAACACAGAGGTGAGTGAAAGGCTTTACTTTGCATACTATAATGTGCAATGCACTGCGAAGGATGGCCATAGGCAAGTTCGTATTATGCTGGAGCTGAACAACGGTCCGGGCGGTTTCTGATGTGAAGATGTTGAAAGCATTGTTTCGAAGAGGACACGCTGATGACTTCCTTTTACATCTGGTCCTATTGGTGAGGTAAATCTATGTCGAGAAACTAGGAAGCACTGTTTTATCCTTCTTAAGAATCATCTTCAGTTTGTATCCGACGCAATCCAGAGTGTTTCAAACCCATATCATTGCTCGCTAGTAGCTTAAACATTTGACTGTTTGGATTTTAGGGTGTCTGAACAGCAGAGTGACTGACTTCCACTCAGACACGAAGTAGCCCCGCTCAGCCTTCAGTCGCAGGGACCACATCAGATGATCAAGTATTTGATGGCACCTCAAGTAGCATCTTCTGAGATCAGTGTAAAGCCACTCTTCTTCTGAGCCACTTACAGGATGGTAGTAATGTGTGGATTGAAATTTACTCCTGCTTTCTTGCACTACAATCGATTTCAATTGGACTCACGCAGGCGGTCATTTCCATGCAATTAAATAAAACAGGTACCAGTGAAAGGAAGAAGTGCTTCGCTGCAGAGTCATTTAGTGGTAAAACACCAACTGAACAGTTACAGACTATTGGACAGGGGAGCAAAACTCTCATATGCATCTTGTTTACAAAACTGAATATCCATCTCCCCGTTAAACGCGTCTTCCTGAAGTTTCCTGGATATTCTATTACTTAATTGCAAGCAAATGCTACAGAGCGATTCCACAGATTCCGTAATAGGTCTCACTTTTCAAGAAACGTGAAGCGGATTTAAGAGAAAACATACTACTGGCATTCCCCCCATCAGTAGTATCGCCGTTACACCAGAACGGTGAAACTGTTTGGAAAAAGACGTGATCAGAACGTGAAAAATGTATTCAAGAACTACAGAAGAGATTGATGGTAAGAGAACTAGGGAAATTCACGCCTCAATAGTGACAATGTTAGGACCAGATTAAAGAGAACCTCAGCCCGATGTACAAGCATACTGATTCTGGTTTTGCTATGGCAAGTTCCTCCTAAAACCAACAGACGGCCGACAGCGTTGAGCGCAAGCCATGGGGAAATTGAGTTAACAAAAACAGAGGGAGACCAGTGCGTTGCTGTGCATATCGGAGCTGGGAACATAAAAGTTCCCCCAACTAGAAGAATAAAATTTACTATCAGAGATTTATCAAATAATATGTACGTATATGCTGCTCGTGAATAGCGTTTCAAAAATCAGATGGACTGGGAATCAATGTCGATCGATAGACTAGAGAAATATGACGACAAGAAACAAACAGCTGGGGCTAAAAATACTGTTTGATAAGATCGATACGATCGACAATTTCTTTCAAACACAAATGATGTTGGAAATGGGGTTTTGAGGAGAAAAGAGCTATTGGGTAGTTTAGTAATTTCTGCATTGTATTTATTTCATTACAATTCAATTCAATTCAATTCAATGTTTTAAATGGTTTAATTCACTTGACTGGTCGTCTAAACATACTT